ATCCGGTGCCAAGCTTTCTGATCTCTCTCCGTGAGGAGAAAATTCCTAGGATTGATGCTCGATTAGATAGTTGATTTGATTTTCTATTACTAGAGCTTGGCAGTGAAGACAGTGCAGCAGATTTTCGCACTACCGGAATGGGTCCTTATGATTCTCAAAGAATGATGAGGGGCAAGGCTGATACCTCGCAGGTGATGCTATCAACTGTGAAGAGGCTTCGAGGCAAGATCTACAAACGTCTGCCTCGGCTCGCTACCAAACTCGTAAGCAAACAGCGGGACGTGAAGCAAGCCAGCTACAGGTGCTAGACGGCTTTCTCGTCAAAGAGCGTTCTATTTCTAGGGTCGGCCGTAAAAGACGGATTTGTTTATAACTGACCCATTTATAATATACCACCAAACTAGTCACTCATGGGAGGCTTCACTTGTGAACTACAATTCCCGTACTACGTAGTATGATTGGTTGCTCAACTGCCCCTTAAACGAAGAAGACCCCTGGGCCGCCTTGCGAAATACTTACTGCTCAAAAGCGAAGAAATTAAAATGCTTTACCTCTCTCTTCCGATGAATCCACTTCACATAAACATAATAAGTGTTTTGGCATGCCAGCAAGCGGTTGAGACTTTCGTTATTCCAAATTTACGAAGGGAAGGTTCCGAGGTATCGGAATGTGGTAAGCCAGCTCCACCTAGGGACATCGCCGGACGGTAGGCATCGGTTGCTCTAAAACTTCTCACCTGGTTTTCCTATTGTCAACTTTCCTTACGCAAGCGGTCAGTAAAGAAAAGCCGAGTCGAGTACAAGAAAAACTAATAGCTTCCTTTCGTTATCTGCATCTGCTTTCCTCAAAAGGTCTAGCTTTGCCAAAATCAATAGTTTAGTTGGTTGGGTCCTGTCGATCAAGTTATAGGAGCTGCTTGCTATCTATCAAAGGGTAGAAAAATACCACGTTTGCATTGAAGGAATGTCGCAGGAAGCTGCCGATCCGCGATTTCAAGTAGTTCGTGCTTCGGCGGCAGGGGACTATAGGCCATGAAAACCCACCCCAGGTATCTCCACCTGTGGATTGAGAGTAAAAACCAGTGAATTTCGTATCTCCCGCTGGCACACGATTTCTATTACTTTTCTTGTTTCCCGTTTCGGAGATCCGATAAAGGAATGGTAAATCGATATCTGGGCTCGAGCCAGGGTACTTATCCTCCCGTCTATAAATCAATGACCAATAAAAGACCAAAGGGGTGATAAATCAAGGGGCGGACAGGAGCAGCATCGTAGCTAGGAGCAGGTGTAGCACCGTAGCTAGTAGGAAGAAGTCCAGCATAGCTACATTCCCCTTCGGGTTGGCGCCCGTCTTCTCCAATAGAAATTTCATCATATCAAGGGCTAAGCTATCTGAAAACCTACTACCAATCTGAATGTAAAAGAAGAACTAAATACTACTATCCATGAGATCATCATAACAAAAACTAGAATTGCCCAGCTAAATAGGAATAGAAATAAATCCAGGGTAACTTGTATCATGAGATGGGTCAATTCCAATTTGAATTCCGTACGGCTACAACTCTTTTTAAACGAGTCGAAGTCCAGTCTTGTCACTTTCCCCCTTTCTTATCCTCTTTTTTATCCAACCTCTTTTATGTATTCTTGGCTATCAGAAAATCCTTAGAATAAAAGTTTGTCAGAAGAAGAAAAAAAGGAGCTCAATTGGCATTCATTCAAATAAAGTTTCACAAACAGGAGGCCTTGCTTTCGCACGGGGAGAGAGATAGCGATGGGCGGCTGCTGTCTTGTCACCGTGTTCCTGTATACCGATAAGATGATGAATGGTGATGCAGGACAGTCGAACTTATCCTTTATTCGTATTGTCAGCTATAAACTTGTTATCAGATCTATAAGGGACACAATCCTGTGGTGAAAGCCGCCATCAACATTCGCGTAGAGAGGTGCTTCCCAAAAAGGGAGGGGAAAACGAGATGATTGCTTTGCCCAGTAAACTATGCTTGCTCTGATGACCTGGCCTTTCTCCCGTTAAAAGGTGGGTACCTTTCCCTAAATCCTTCTCCCGTGCATGCTATTCTCCTGTTCCCCCGAAGGGCGGTATCAATACGGCAACCCGAAAGCTCGTTATCAAAGTGGTCTCTTCTCAAAAGCTTATCTGCCAGATGAAAACAAGTTCGTAGTAACAAGGGGCAAAACAAGCAGGTTGGATAAGGGTGCCAGTGAAGAAATCAAGAGAATATGCTTTGGAGTATTCATAGAAAGAAGTCTTCCTATAAGATAATCATCTTTCCTTTGTTTTGACATTCTTGATGTATTTTCCACTGTATGGACATCCTTCTATCTTTGTATCGGTAGCCTCTTCAAAGTATTGCTTTAAAGTTCCTCATGAAGACAGAGAACCAGCTGACTACTATAACTCCCCATCTCATCCCTGCTGCTGATCCGTGGTACCATTTCTCTATGGGGAAGTGTTGATTGATTAATGATCAGAAATAAAAAGAATGCAGAGAATAGGATCCACGGCTATGAGAGAAAGCAAACTATACTAGCTTCCTGCTGCCGATTAGTTGAAGGGAAAGTTAAAAATAGTCTTAAGAATTATAGAGCACGACAGCATTCAAATGAATGTTCTTAAAAAACAATATTTTTATTTATCATATTTTGACTAGAACTTCAGTTCTTTCACTTCGACACGTCTTCCAACTGATGATAAGTCAACTCAACAACATTTCCAGCTTAGCTGCCCTTTCACTTGCTTCTGCCTTTTCACTAGAATTAAGATAGTGTCCTCCCAGAATTGAGAAAGAAGAGAGAATACCTATGTGCTGCTATGCCTATGGTCCAGAATTGCTATCCGTACGACCTTGGTCTTTGATTGTAAAAAAAATACATACTAAGCAAGTAAGCCTGCCTAAAAGCATTTCTTTTTGACACCTCTCTCGATTTGAAGAGATTACACATCACTGCGAACTTATTCACTCTTCGAAGCC